TGCTTCTCGCCGGATGATCCCAGCGCTGTTGCTGACTCTGTCACTGATGTGGTGCTACACGGAATGGAACTATTTATTCCATCATCTGTGGTACCCATCGGAGGCAGATCTCAGCCTTGGTTTGGTCGCTCCTGTAAGACTGCATTACGCAGTAAGCAGGAGTGTTATCTAGCCTGGGCTGCGGCTTCGGCGACTCGGGATGTAAACACCAGCACACTTAAAAAGAAGTATACCTTCGCCTCCAGGTCCTGCAAAAGAGTTATTGCTTAGGCAAAGTCAGAGCACATAGGCAGAATCGGCGAGAAACTAGTTCGCCTTCCTTCGGGAACCCGTGCATTCTGGTCTCTCGCCAAGGCTGTCCAAGGGAATTTCTGTAAGCCATCACTACCATCTCTGCACAGGGAGGATGATTCACTGGCCCATCCTCCCTGACAACGCAAAAGACAAAGCCGACCTTTTGGGCTCCCTTTTTGCGTCCAACTCGACTCTTGATGACGGGGGGAAAACACCGCCGACCATCCCGCGGTGTGAGTGCTCCACGCCGGATGTGCTGTTCTCACAGCACTCTGTTCGCAAAGCACTGCTCTCCCTGGACATCCAGAAGTCGAGTGGGCCTGACGGAATCCCCCCAATTGTGCTGAAGACGTGTGCTCCGGAGTTGGCACCGGTCCTAACGCGTCTTTTCCGGTACTCCTACTCCCAAGGCGAAGTCCCGAATTCATGGAAGACAGCTTTTGTCCACCCGTTCCTTAAAAAAGGCGACCGCTCAGACCCATCCAACTATAGGCCTATCGCGATCACCTCCTTGTTCTCCAAAATAATGGAATCCATTATTAACTGTCAGCTCATCCGGTACCTTGAGGATCACCAGCTGATTAGTGACCGCCAATACGGTTTTCGTCGGGGTCGATCAGCTGCTGATCTTCTGGTCTACCTGACCCATAGATGGGCGGAGGCAGTAGAGTCCAAGGGGGAGGCGTTAGCCGTCAGTCTGGACATTGCGAAGGCCTTCGATCGGGTTTGGCACAAAGCGCTCCCTTCCTATGGGCTTCCCGAGAAATTGTGCAATTGGATCACCAGCTTCCTTGCAGATCGGAGCATCAAGGTCGTTGTAGACGGTGCATGCTCTGACTACAAGCCTATTAACGCTGGTGTTCCACAAGGCTGTGTGCTATCACCAACGCTGTTTCTTCTGCATATCAATGATATGTTGCTAACTGGTAACATTCATTGCTATGCGGATGACAGCACTGGTGATGCTCTATACACCGGCCGTGCCAATATTTCTCGGGAAAACGTCGCCGAGTACCGGAACAAACTGAAGTCGAGTCTTTGCTGAACAATGTCTCGGATTAGGGGCGACTAAATATAGTCCAGTTTATTCCTCAGAAGACACAAGTTTGCGCGTTTACCGCTAAAAAGTACCCATTTGTCGTATCTCCTCAGTTTCAAGGCACTCCCCTTCTTGCCTCAGTCAGTATCGGTATCCTCGGAGTCGACATATCGAGTGACGTGCAGTTTCGTGGTCACTTGGAAGAGAAGGCCAGATTGGCCTCTAAAAAGCTTGGCGTGCTCAGCAGAGCGGGACAGTATTTCATGCCGGCACACCGCCTGCAACTTTACAAGGCGCAGGTTTGGCCTCACATGGAATACTGTTCCCATCTCTTCGACTCGACGTTAAACTGGGACAAGGAATAGATTAAATATTTGTAGGGAGTCAAGAAAGTGTGCGCGGGAAAGAGCCACGTGCAAGTACCGCGCGCATCTCCCGAGATTCGGCCCGTATGACCTGAGGGTCGGTGGGGCCATGGGAGGTGGAGGGTTGTTCCCATCTCTCGTCGTCAGTACTCGTACTGAGCGGACGTATTTATGCGCTCTCGCGTGACCTCGTGAAGTATTTTCTAGTAATTTTGTGTTTTCTTAATACTTTTGTGCAAATTTTTTGTTTAATAATAACTATATAGCTTTTTGTGTCGTACAAAACAAAACTGTGTTGTGTTGGTGTATTTTTAAATACTTTTTGTAGGAATAAGCACGTGTTTGTTGGTTAGAACTACGCGGACCGCGTGGTTATTTTAGCTAAGTATCTTTGTGTTATGTTTTATTTCTAATTTACTACTAATGGATAATTACTTGTGAGTACTTTTATTATATATAGCTTGTAGTTTAGTTTAGTAGTAAAACATTGAACATTATTCTATTACTGAGGTTAGGAAGTGTTGTTGTGTTGACACTGACAGCCGTCATTGGGCGTGACATTGACACTGACACTGACACTGACGTTGGCAGCTGTCATCTGTCATAGAGTTTGACGTTGACATTTTGCGTTCCTTTTCTGTTTTTATGTGTGATAGTGATTTGACTTCTTGTATATAATCTGAGACGATACAGTTAATAAAATAATAATGGCGGATGATGAGGAGTTGTTTACTCCTCGCAAATCTTTGGCCAGGACTCCGCCGAGCCCGCTTGGTCGGCCGGTCGCGTTGCCCCCCCCCCCCACCACCAGTAGCACCTGAAAAGCGTCCTCTGACGTCACCAGAAGAGATACATTCATCTTCCCAGCGACCAAGGGTGGGCAAGCGTACTGAGCCTCACCAGAGTGTGGCCCCGGTGGCAGGACTGCCGTCCAGGGATGTGGAGAAGCCTGCTGCAGAGGCCGTAGGTGAGGACTGCCAAAGGGAGAGCTCCCGGGGAATAAGAGGGATATTCAAAGCTTCGACCGCATCTAAGCTGGAGGTGATCGATCATGTTCGTGATGCAGTCAAGGGTATCATGGGTATCATCACCGGACCAGGGTCGAAACTCAACAAGGCTGAGGTCAACAGGGTGGCTACATATGGGCATGATCTCATTGCAATGGTTGCGACAATGGAGGTCCATATATCTGAACTGAAGTTGGCAGCACTTAGAGCAGAATAGGGGAAGATTGCTGCGGAAGGAAGACTGGCGCAGGTTGAGGCCAGTGCACCGCACCGTTCCTACTCGGTGGCGCTGAGGCTGCCGAAGGGGGCCGACCAAATGTTGATGCCAGCAAGTAAAGGCCCAGTTGTCGCCTTCTACCCGGCTGAGACGGAAGGCCCATTGAAGACTGCAGAAGATACGAAGATGGAGCTCAAGAAGGCAGTTAACCCCAAGACCAGCGGGCTTCAGATTGACAAGCTGAGGAAGGTGGGAAATGCGGGTGTCGTGGTCCAAACCACGTCCCAGGAAGCAGCAGAGAAACTGAAGACTGCTGCCCCTCCAACATTGAGGGTGACGGAGCCCAGACAACGTTTACCACTGGTGGCTCTTAGGGGTTTTGAGGAGGACCCCAAGAATGAGGATGTAATCAGCGGCCTCCACGAGCAGAACCTTGCTGTTTGTGGATGGACCGAAGCAAAGGTGAAGGAAAACTGCAGGATTGCTTTCAAAAAGTGCTGGAGAGGTAGCAGGAGGACAACCGTGATCCTTCAATGTTCGGCTGCCTTTGAGAGATATCTTGATCGGATACAATCGGTTATACGTCGGCTGTGACGTGGTTGAGCTGTGTGATTACGTGGACGTCACGTGCTGCCAGAGGTGTCAACAGTATGGGCATCCTGCGAAGTACTGCCGATCGAAGGAGGTCGTATGTGGGAAATGTGGAGAGGCGGGATATGAACGTGGTGCCTGCAAGTCCACGGAGGAGAAGTGCGCTACGTGCAAACGATTTGGTAGAACTGACTCTGGCTCGCACGTGACCATGGCGAGGAACTGCCCAGCAAGGCTGTATGTAGAGCAACGCTCCGTGGCCACCACTCAGTACTGCTGATAAGGGCAGCCCCATAGTTAACCAGGAAGACAAGGCACTACGATTAGGACAAATCAACCTGGGTCGAAGGGAGCTCGCCGCGGCTGAGCTGCCCATCCTGGCGCGTGAACTGCACCTGGACATTGTTCTTGTACAAGAACAGTACTCCCAGGTTGCGGGGATCGTTCAGGTGGGCTGTCACCCGTGGGCGGGCATCTATCTTGCCGACCCAGCAATTGGGGTAGCAGTGCTGAGCCACCTCAGCAACGAATTTTGTGTGGTGTGCCATGTTGACCGATGGGATCTCTATGTGGTGTCAGCGTACTTTAAATTTAGCGACACTATTGATGACCACCTGCACCACTTAGAGGTCGCCCTGAGTTGCCTTAAGGGCAGAAGGGTGATCATGGGCCTCGACGCCAATGCGCACTCGCCACTCTGGTATTGTGATCGCCGACACTACGTGGGAAGAGGACAAAATGTACAATATCGAAGGCAGCAAATGGAGGCGTTTATTATCACACATGCTCTAACGTTGGCAAATATGCCTGACCAGCCCTACACCTTCTCTGGGCCTAGAGGTGAGTCCAACGTGGACCTGACCCTCTCCACTGGGGACGTCTACCTTGCCGAGTGGCGAGTACACGAGGGGGTATGCGCCAGCGATCATAATTTAATAACTTACACGGCCACTACTAGCAGGCCGACGACGCGCGCAGCATCCGTTAGGGATCCCCCCCGTTTTCGTGACCGAGGGGTGGATTGGGAAAGGTTCCGGGCGATTGTCAAATTACGAATGGGATGGCTGCACGTAGAAAAACCCGCGGCTCTCCTGGCGAAGGAGTTCTCAGGGGTCGTAATTCGCTCTGCGGAGGAAGGCCTAGGGGAGCGTCGTCCCAGGGGGTCGGGGGGGTATGAATGGTGGACATTTGAACTGGATAAAACTCGGAAGTTGCAATGCAAACTTAGGCGTGCTTGGCAGAGTAAAAGGCGTCTGGGAGGTAGGTCTGAGGAGTTAGCCAGGATGGCTTTCCATAGTGTGCGTGCGAGATATAGGAAGATGATGGTGGAGGCGCAGCAGTCGCAGCACAGGAAGATTGCCAACTCTGGCAATGAGGACCCATGAGGCTTTGCATACAGGCTCTCCAGCGGCAGGGTACGTCCGCCTGCAAATGTGATCAATGGGATCGCCTTTGCGGGTGTACACCCGGACGGTCTGGAAGCAGCGATGCATAAATTAATGTCTGCGCTCTGTCCGGATGACAGCACTGACTGCGACTCGCCTTATCACCGGCAGGTTCGTCTGCTGGCGGCTTTCATGCCGTCGGGTGGAGCTGTGCCTCCACTTAAGGTTGAGGAACTGGGTGGTATAGTTAAGGCCTTGCCCAACACGGCTCCGGGACTCGATGGAGTGAGTGCGAGAATCGTGAGGAATGTGTGGATTGCGGCACCGAGGGAATTTCACTCGGTGTATGCCAAGTGTGTGGAAGAGGGGGTTTTCCCCAATGTATGGAAGAACGGAAGACTGATTGTCATTCCCAAGGGTAATGACAAGCCGCTCACCGACGTCAAGGCATACCGTCCAATAACGCTCCTCCCTGTTTTGGGAAAATTATTGGAACGAGTAATTTTAAGATGTGCTCTCGCGATTAGCCGCGGGATATCCGAGTACCAGCATGGATTTTCTCCGGGGCGGTCTACAGTAACAGCGCTGCGTGTACTGCTCAGCACGGCAAGGTATTCTCAGGCATGCTACGTGCAAGCAATATTCTTAGATATCTCCGGCGTCTTCGACAATGCCTGGTGGCCGATGATGGTCAAGGCCAAAAGGGGTGGATGTCCACCCAACATTTATAGAATGTTGGTGGACTACTTCACCTCCAGGCGTGTGGGCCTCTACATCGGAGACCGGGTAGAGTGGAAGACGTCGACCATGGGATGTCCTCAAGGCTCCGTGCTGGGCCCAACACTGTGGAATGTGCTGATGGACGACCTGCTCCGACTCCCTCTGCCCGAGGGAGTAGCCATGACTGCCTATGCCGATGATGTTACAATCTTGATTGAATCGGGTACGAGAGCGGGTATCGAATCCAGGGCCAGAGTCACTCTGGACCTTGTACGGGAGTGGGGGCTAAGGAATCGACTGGAGTTTTCCTCCTCAAAGTCGACCACCATGACTGTTAGAGGGAAACTTCAGCGCCCCCCCCCCCCTTTATTAAACTTGGTGGGGAATCTATTAAGACAGTGACTAACGTTAAGGTATTAGGCGTGGTTTTAGACTCGGGACTATCGTTTGTGCAACATGCATCCGATATCTCTGAAAGAGCGACCAAGGGATTCGGTAAGATGTCTCGCGTATCTACATCATCATGGGGTGTACGATATCCGAGTTTAAAATTAATTTATAGAGGAGTTTTTGTGTCCACGCTTACGTATGCGGCAGAGTGCTGGTACGAGCGTGCAAGCATGTACACAGTTCGTAGCGTACTACTGAGATCGCAGCGATCCGCTCTTGTATTGTTAACCAAGGCGTACCGATCCACTAGCACGGCGGCCTTACTGGTGCTGGCTGGCGTTCTCCCTGCTGACCTAGAGGTCATCCGTGCTGGTAGGATGGGTATAGCACGTTTGACCGCGCCCAAAGAGGAGTTGAGCAGACGGAATCGCGATATCTGGACTGAGATGATAGGCGCCTGGCAGGATAGATGGACGTGTGATACAAAAGGACGTGAGCTACATCGATTTTTCCCGGACGTGGCGTTGAGTCTCAGTTATACCTGGGTCTCACCGGACTACCAAACCTCTCAGATTCTCACCGGACATGGATGCTTTCGGAAGAGACTGAGCAACATGAAACTTTGTGAAATTAGTATGTGTGAGTGCGGTATGTCGGAGGAGGATGTTCACCATGTTCTATGGGAATGTCCTCTGTATGATGACCTAAGAGTGAAAATGATGGATGGACTAGTTCGTCCGGCTCAGGGACCAGTTTACTACTCAGATCTCGTCAGCGATGTGGTAAACTACGGACTGTTGCGCGAGTTTGCGCATAGGTGGCACGATCGCAGGACAAGGCAGGATGGGAGGCTGGTAGGAGCGCCCGACGACGTAGGCGTCAATGTGTCGTCAGCCCCAGAAGGGGGAGAATGACGTTAAACTGGGACAAGGAATAGATTAAATATTTGTAGGGAGTCAAGAAAGTGTGCGCGGGAAAGAGTCACGTGCAAGTACCGCGCGCATCTCCCGAGATTCGGCCCGTATGACCTGAGGGTCGGTGGGGCCATGGGAGGTGGAGGGTTGTTGTTCCCATCTCTGGGCAGGGGCTCCCCAGTGCCAGCTCCTTCCACTTGACCGCATCCAACGCAGAGCGGCTCGAATCGTCGACGACCGAGCCCTTTCCGATCGGCTCGATTCAATTGCACTGCGAAGAGATGTTGCATCCCTGTGCATTTTCTTTCACATCTACCATGGGGAGTACTCTGAGGAATTGTTCGGATTAATCGCAGCCGCCAAATTTCACGAACGCACATCGCGGCAGAACTCCCGATACCATTTTAAAAGGCCGGCAACGCATCTGCAATTCTCTCCCTGGTGTTGCAGTTGTTCATGGGCGGCGGTAGTCACTTACCATCAGGTGAGCCGCATGCTCGTTTGCCCCCTCTCCTATAAAAAAATATACATATATGGCATAGAAATATTTTATTAACACAATGTTTTGACATTAGATGGTAGTGCTAAAAATTGTTGTATTCCTAAACCGTATAAAGATAGATAAGATATCGTAATAAAGTACTTATATCAAGCACGCGTTAGTTTCATTATAACCCGTAGAAGTCAATTCGATATCTGGTTTGGTCATTGTATATGGTCCTAATCGAGTCGGATGTATTTTTGAAAATTCTCACTAGAAACCAGTGGTGGATCGCTACTGAAGGTGCGCACCGGACGATTCTAGTGCATCATACTGGTTTATTGAGTGCAGTGCGGTGTTATGCGCACAGAATAATTAGTAGATTCTACCCGAGTTGTGCGTTTGGAATGTGCCGGCCGCATTCAGTCGAGGAGTACAAAGTAAGAAGTTGGACGCAGAGCAGCAGTGACGTCACATCCGTGACGTGTAAATCTACGAAGGAACGATCTGCAGTGAAGCCATCATAACAGTGACGTGAACGACGTCATCGTCGGTGTTGAGTGGTTTGCAAGTGAAAATCGTGAGACTTTTTTATAATTTATCAGTGAAGTTTAAAAATTTGATAATTTGAAAGATTTCAATAACTTTTAAAACAGAATTTTATTGAAGACTTAGAATAATTAATGATTAATGTAAACTTTAATTATTTATTCATGTTGGTTAGTAACTATTCAATAAAAATCAAACGGGGAACCTATGCCCAATTTTATGTAACTTCCTTTATTCTCCTAAACACTTGTAAAATTTTGTAAACAAAAGACTTCGCTTTAGATAAATATTCTACCAAAATGTCATTGTCAGCCCTAATAAACAGTTGGCTAGGATATAAGTGTATGATAGAAGAGGCTTATGAAAATTATAAAAAATTGCCAAAGGAACGTCTATGTAAAGAGTCTTATTAACTCACTAGGTTAGATTCATTAGAAGAAAAATGGCAGATATTCGCAGAATGGTATAAAAAAATGTCAATGGAGTTATCAGAGCAATTAGTAGAAACTAAATATTACAAAGAAAGTATTTATGAAAGTGTAGAGAAAATGTATATTGATTATAAGTCTGATATCAAAGAAGCATTATTTGTTTTAAAGACTCAAGCTAGTAACTCAAGTTTTTGTTCTCATTTAATTTCTAAAGTTGAAAGCAATGTTAAAGTACCTAAGATAAACATCCCCACCTTTTCGGGGTCATATATAGAACGGACAACGTTTAGAGATTTATATGTATCGTTGATCCATAATACAAAACTCTTCAATAGATGATGTGCAAAAGATACACTATTTGAAAGGGCATCTTTCAGGAGAAGCCGAACAACTTTTAACCACGATTCTTGGAAATTAGCCGATGTTATACGAGTAGGTAGGTATATACCTGGGTCTCTGAATCCAATTTTAAACCATTTTCGTATATAAAATTGTATCCTATGAATCTACATTTATTCCCAAATTTTTCAAACCATGTAACGTGTCATTGGTAACGTCTAACATGTTTTTACATATAATTGCATTACATGACTAGCTGCCGATGCTTTGTTGATTCATAAAACACTTCAATAGATAATTCGTAATATATTTATTATTATAACGACTGTTAAGTGTTAACCGCGATTCTTGGTAATTAGCCGATATTATACGAGTAGGTAGGTATATTAGCTTGGTAATTAGCCGATATTATACGAGTAGATAGGTATATACCTAGTAGGTAGGTATATACCTACCTACTCGTATAATATCGGCTAATTACCAAGAATCGCGGTTAACACTTAACAGTCGTTATAATAATAAATATATTACGAATTATCTATTGAAGTGTTTTATGAATCAACAAAGCATCGGCAGCTAGTCGTGTAATGCAATTAAAAACATGTTAGACGTTACCAATGACACGTTACACGGTTTGAAAATTTTGGGAATAAATTTAGATTCATAGGATACAATTGTATATACGAAAATGGTTTAAAATTGGATTCAGAGACCCGAAAATGTTGGGAATCAAAAAAAATCTCTTCAGAAGAACTGCCAACGTTGAACCAATTAAGAAAATTTCTTGAAACGCGATTCCGGTCACTTGAGTTCATGGATCCTGAACAAAGAAGCAAACCAAGTGTTTCAAACCAAAAACCTAAGGTAATACACTCCATGGCATTTAGCTCTAACACTGCAGCCAAATTTAACGGTCCTTATTGCAATAATGAACATAAAATATTAAACTATAAAGAATTTGCCGCGGTTGCGGTATAACACTCGACATTATTTCGTGCAAGATAATGGCCTTTGCTTTAATTGCTTGGGTCGTAACCACTCTGCTAATACGTACCGTTTATTTACGAGATGACGCATTTGTAATGAGCACAAGCACCACTTATGAGTGCTCCACTCAAAACCAATGACACAAAAAGCTGTTTTGTCCAAGCCAGATTTGTCAGTCGAAGTTAAGTCTGTACTGTCAAAGATAAAGGCAGCGCAAGAAAAACCGGAGTCGTCTCCGAATATAACAGCGCATTTTTCGAAGAAGATAGTGACTAATCATATTCTACTAACAACTACACTTATTCTAGCAGAGGCAAGAAACGGTTAGGCCCACTTGCTCAAAGCTCTACTTGACCAGGGTTCGCAAGCGTCGTTTGTTACAGAGTCAGCTGTACAGCTACTTGGCCTTAGGAAGATACCCAATAGAAGCAACATATCAGGAGTAGACTGTGATAAGAGCTCTCTATCTTCTAAGTACATCGTAATGATAAACATTCAGTCGCATTTTGATTCCTGCTTCCAAATACAAGTGCGTGCTCATGTTTTAGGCTCGATAACTAGTCTACTTCCATCGGAGAATTGGCTAATATCACTCTTGTCGACCCCCAATTTCACAGCCCAAGTAAAATAGACGTATTACTTGGTGCAGACGTTTACAATCAGGCTATAAGAGAAGGGTTGGTCAAGGGCCCTAACGGCATTCCAACTGCTCAGTGTACTACCATAGGATGGATATTATCTGGGCCCACACAGTTACCCGATCATAATCAAGTACCTTTGTCTCGTTATCAATATAATATTATTAGCATACACTCTCAAACTGATGAAAATGAATTACAAAAGAGATTTTGACAAATTGAATCCGATTTCAGTGAAAGCAAGATTTTAATCAGGAAGAACAGGGTTGTGAAGAATATTACAGTAATACTAATCAGCGGGATTCAACAGGTCATTACATAGTGAGACTTCCCTTCCGTGAAGTCAATTCTCAATGTAAGTATGGGAATTCCATAGACATTGAAATAAAGCGATTTCATCTTCTTGAAAACAGTTTGAAGAAGAACTCAGATTTCAAGGCAAGATATTCCGAAGTCATACATGAATACTTGAACATAGGCCACATGAAACTTATAACTGGCAGTGACCTTAATAAATCGCAATCATTATATTTACCCCATCACTCCGTTATGAGAGAATAAAACTACAACGAACCAAAGAACAAACGAAGTATCTTTAAACGATACATTGATGATTGGCCCCACGCTTCAGCAAGACTTACATCATATTATTACCAATGACGTATGCATCCAA